GCTAAGCTCTTTAGTTTTTCAATGTGAATTTCTGCAATTTCCAAATTTATTTTGTACGACTTTAAGCCGAGGCCAAACAGCAGCTGCAACGCCGTCCAATGGAACTCTGCTTAATGTATCTGAATAGCCCATGCCATTAGCTACACACACACACACACATAGACATCGACACCCTTTGGTATAGATGCTCGACTACAAATAGAAATTCACGTCTGTTGGGCAGCGAGCGGGCCGATAAATAAACCCCAATTTATCATGTACATGGACGCAAACAGAAAGAGACAGCTATACACGGAGTAAGGGTGATTGAGAGAGAAAGAGAGAGTGAGTGAGGAAGCTGGAGTAAGCATATATCGTGGATATATAATGGCCATGGCCGGCAGCGGTCATAATTTTTGGCAACACACAAAATTTGTTCGATAGGCGTTGAAGCGTTCAATTGAATGTCCTGGTCTGAACAAGGACCTGGTCCTTGGTCCTGGCTGAGCCCCGGCCAGAGCCACATCTTGTGCGGCGTCTTCCCTCTATTGTATAATCAAAACTAATGGTCTATAAAGAATCAATTCGCAATTTGTTTTGGGGCACCAGCTGCTGGACATCAAGGCGTGGCAAGGGACAAAGGCGGCGCCAGGACATCGAGCAGCACATGTGACAAATGGAAATTTTAAATGTATTTTGTGTGCGATTCAATTAAAGTATGCAACGCCATAGAGTAGGGCTAATGAGTGAACTGATTAGGGATATTCCCGCATGCATAAAGTGGGCCGGCGTCTGTTGAGGTTTACATGTTATCCAAAAATCTCTGATTCAGCAAATTTTCGTCATAAAGTTTCATCAGCAGCACAAAGCAGACTGGCAAAAAAAAAAGAGAAGAAAAGAAAATAAAATAAAGTAAAAGACTCGTAAATATGAAAGCAGACAAAGTCTGCCTTCCTCACTCACTCTCCCTCTCTCTATCTCTCCCACTCGCTCTCGCTCACACACACATGGCAAGTTTTATATGCGCATTTGAGTGACCATAAAAATGGACTTGGTCCTGCACAGGCTTCGTCCTGCCTGTTGATAACAACAAAATTGTGCAACGCAATTTGATGAGATTAGCTGAAAGTACAGAAAATTTGCCAGCTATCTAAATGGACAAGCATGAACATGCATGTGTGCATGTGTGCATGTGTGCATGTGTGTGTGTGTGTGTGTGTGTGTGTATCTGGAGCATGTATGTCCATTATAATTCGATGCGGCAGGCTTAACTCCTCAGCACAAATTGATTCAAGCTGAGAAGAACAACAAAAACTGAAGCGAAATTGTTTGCGTCGTAAGTAAAGAGAATTATCTACTGATAGAGCATACTTCAATTAAGATAGGGCATAGTAAAACAGCATCAAAGAGATGATATGAAACGGGCCTAGGCTCAGTTTTAAGTAGGTGAACGAGCTAGGACAAAGAGTAGCTGAAAAATGTAACCAAAAGGTAAGCAAAAAGTTAAAATGTGTTAATACAAAGGACAATGAAAAAAGAAAAAGAACAAGTAAATCCCCAGAAAAAATAAATTGGAAGAGAGCAAACGCTATACGAAAAAAAAAAAAAAAATAATATCTAAGTTATGTAAAGTCTTTGCCTTGCATCAGCCAGTCGTTACCCAACACTAGCAAAAGAACAAATTCAATTTAAAAAAACGAAATTATTTGGCACCAAAAATAAATTGTTTTCTTCCTCTTGCTCGAGACGCAAGAGCCAAAGTCTGACAAAATATTTAATTTGTTTATCCAGCAAATAGTCCGCAAACTCCAATTTCACATTTCTCGTTCGACTACGAAACAAAAACAAAACCAAAAGAATTCCCATTGCTTCAGCTAAATGGCCACAATTTAATTTAAGCTGACCAATTCCCCCAACAAGAAAAAAAAAGAAAACAAATGAGAAAAAAATACAAATCTAAATGCCAAAAATGTGCAGAGCGAAATTCCAGAGACAACATGGAATGGAACTAGTGAATTTTAATTGAAGCTTTATTTTTGATTTTTGATGCCAATACGAAAAAGGCAAATTGAAATTTTGCAAAGCCCAAGGGTTGCTCGCTGTCTCACTCACACTCGCGTTCTTTTCTAATTTAACGGCGAAAAAGTTACGCTGCTAAGTGATATGTGGCTTTCGCCTTTAATGAAGCTACTAAACTTCGCCGCTAGTCGAAAAGTTTAATTTGCGCTGCGGGAGTGAGAGCGAGCGAGGCTGAGCCGAGCTGCCTCTGTGAGTAATTAGTAAAATGCATTAAAATAAATGAGCTTTCGCGGCGGCATGAGCTCTGCACTTTAAGCTTTTAAATGCCGAATATAACAGCATAAAGCGGTAAAAATTAACATGGCTTATGGCAAAGATCAAATGGCTGTGTGCGCCGCCACTACTCTTATACATGCTGAAAAAAAAAAAAAAACAAAAAATGGAAAAGAGCGTAATTTGCCATTAATACATATTAAATTTAACTTACTCGCTCGCACTCGAAAAAGTAAACGCATTTCGTTTAGTTACTGTAATTTAAGCATGCATAAAACTTAACAGCCTATTTACAGCGCAGACACAAAAAACATGGCTGCTGTATAAGTGTGAGGCGAAGACAGAGAAAGGTAGAGAGAGAGCAAGAAAAAGGGAGAGTGAGTGAGTCTGTGCATAAGTGTGAGCGTGGACAATCGCTGTCGTGGCCAGCGTCGCAGTCGCTGCCATTGCTGACGTCGGACACTTAAACAGGCCATAAAATACATTTTGAGCGCGTCGTCTGTCGCTGGGTCGCTCTGCTGCCGTCGCTGTCGCTGTCGCTGGCTCGTTCTGCCGTCTCTCGCCTCTAGGCGTTGTAATTTCTTCAATGTGTCAGCCGACGTCGCCGCTTCTAATTGCAAAATATGGCGACAATTTCAAAGAAGTTGAGCACATTGACGCCTACTGACTGTCGCCGTGGGTATAATATAATTTCAACGAGCATTTCGACCATGCCATGGAGTGGATGGAATATGTATAGTCGAGTGCTTGAACTGCGTTATGTAATGAATGCTCACAGAGCGCGCCGACTGAAGCGAAAATGCCAGAAAGCGTAGCTTAAACGGGAACTAAAGCTCAACATGAAATGTTAAGAGTGCGGCGAAATAGCAGCTCAACTATAAACCGACCTCTCGCTCTCTCTAGCTCTCGCCTACCCCTCTGCTCTCTTCTACACGCTTAGTATAATAGAATGTGTGCGTGTGTGTGTGTGTGTGTGTAGCATTTTATGAAACGTTTTATTATACTAATTTGTAGCCTGGCAATGGTCGCCAGTTTCGGTTACATTGAATGCCACCAACTAAAAATGGCAATTTGCCAGAGCTGCAGTGTGAGAGGGAGGGCGAATGAGCACAGTGAGTGAGAGTTGCTAAATGTGCCTGTGTGTGTGTGGATACACTTTAGTCAAGTCTCTATTAGCAGACAATGCGTTTGCTCTCTAATACATATGCAAAAGGTATGCCATGAAAATTGTTTAACTGTCGTTCACTCTCCCCTCTCTCACTCTCTCTCTCTCTCTCTCCCTCCCATGCTCTTTGTCTGTGTGTGTGTGGGGATTTTCGCCTTTGGGGAGTTTTTTATTAAAATGACGTTGGAACACTGTGTGGCCCTTCTGTGTCCAGTTGGGTCCCAGCAGTCAGTCGATTGGGCAACGGCATTTGCCACACGCACATCCTTTTCGCTTGCATCGTTTAGTGTCCTTTGCAGTTGCATTCGTCCTGTGCCAAGTTTTAACGACTTTGTTTCCGTTACGTCTAATTTAATGAAATTCGTTTTGCTTTTGCTTTAGCCGTTCCCATTGCCGTTGCTGTTGCCTTTGGTTTTGGTTACGGCTTTTGGTTTCTGTTTCCAACTTTTCTGCATAGAGTTTTCCGAAAAACGGGAATTCTAATGACTTGGGCGTTGTTGCACTTAGTCCTTGCTGTAGTCCTTGGTGTCCCTGCCGTTTGGGGGAGAACTGTCCTGTCTGCCAGACAGGTTGTCTGCGCGTGTGGGTTCCTCTTCCACCTTTTTGTTTGCTTTCTGATTTAATGATGGTCTGCTTCATATTATTCCAGTTATTATTCCATTGATATAAGCACATTCTCTTTAATAATATATTTTGATGCACTCGCTATAATGATATAGTACCTGAATGGCTCGCAGTGTGAATGATTGGGGCGTTACGGATTCCCAGCACAAGTGTTAAATATAGGTTCAAAGTTGCCTTTTTGGAAAAGTGTTGACAGTGGATGGCAATTATATGAGGACGAGGTCTTCTGACAAGGGCGAATGAATGAGTTGAGGGCATGGGATGGTGATTTAAAGAGATATTTGAAAGAGATTAAAATCATTTTCTTAAGCCAAAATAAATTAAATTATATGAACTACCCAATAGAAGCTTAAGATGTTACTCCAGTCAGAAAACGCTTTTCACATATCCCAAAATGCAAAAAGCTGAAGTTCTCTTCAAAAATATCTCACGAAATATTTAACGGTATATATGTATGTATGTATGTGTATATATATATTTTGGTATTTCTGCCTGTTTGGCAAAGTTGTTCGTGAAAAGTTGTGAAAATCCGAAATTTTCACGTATATACCAAGCATGAAATATGCAGCCAAGGCAATTTTCTAGTGCATGCGCCACGCCCACCACGCCCATCCGCCCATGCGGCCACAAAATATGCAACAAATATTCGTGGCTTCGCTGTTTCTTCGCATTCGTTGCCCGCCGGCAGATAACTTGAGCCATTTGCAAGAAATATGAGCGAAGAAGCTCGCGCTGTGAATAAACAAACTGATTTGCATTTATGGAAATGCAACGAGCCCACACACACACACACACACACATACAGTCAAAGGATATATGGAGTGTGTGTGTGTGTGTGTGTGTGTGTGCAGGGAGTAGCTGCTGACCAAAATCAAATAGAAAAGTCGAGTATATGTCCATGTGTGCGTGTGTGTGTTGCAAGCCAAAAGTAAATATTTATGTTTTATGTTAATGAGAATATGTCTGACTTTTTGCTATTTGAATATCGGCAAACGGCGCAGGATATGCTGCGCTGCAGCTGGCTGCCCAGGACACCCCGTCGCACCAAAAGTCTGACAAATGGGACGTTGGCTCAAATGCGGTTGCACTTTTTACTCCATTTGCTGTTGCTGCTGTTGTTGTTGGTGTTGTTGGTGTTGTTGTTGGTGCAAACAACCAGCACATAAGTCTCAGCCACGTCTGTGGTTTCTCCTCTGTTTTTTATTCATTTGGGCAGGCTATATACATATATATATACATATATATAGAGCGCTACTTTACCATATTGCCCCGACTTTCGCTTGCACAGCTATTTTTTACTCGCTTTTGTTTTACTGGCCAATAATTGACAATTTAATTTGACCAAGTGGTGAATAAAAAAATTGCATTAAATTAAAAAATTAACAAACAAAAAATAGTTAATAAATAAAATGGGTAAAAGGCGAATATTGTATATTCTTACTAAATAAAATCCAATGGAATAAAATTAATTTACTTAAATTGTCTGGAAATATTAAAAAGATTATATTATTAAAAAAGATTACAATACCGTACATCCTTTGGAATTATTAGGCAGTCCAAAATTATTTATGTAATGATATTTAAAAATTTTACTTAATATCTGACTCGCAATAACACCTAAAATTTACTGTCTTCCATTTTCTATTTCAATTATCCATTATCCACCATTAATTATCTATCATTCAGCTTCGCTTATCCATTATAAAATATCCATCATTCAGCTTCGCTTATCCATTATCCATTATTCATACTCATTATTATCCATTGTCCATTATCATTTAATTTTCCCTCATCCATTATCTAGTAATTCATGTTCTATTATTCATTTTCCATTATCTATTATCCATTATTCATAATCATTATTATCCATTATCCATTATCATTTAATCTTCCATATTTACTGTCAATGGTCTATCACTCATTTTCTCTTATCCATTATCTATAATATACAATCATTCTTATCCAATATCTATTATCATTAAATCAATGATCTACCACTCAGTTTTCCTTATCCATTATTAATTATTTACAATCATTCTTATCCATTATATTAATCTTCCACTATCCACTAACACTCATATTATCCATTCCATTCATTCATCATCCACCATTCCACTATTATCCACTACCTATTGTAAATTGTTCATCATCCATTTCATTATCCTTCCCATATCTTGCCTAGATTCTCAATTTTTATACCATCCCCACTTTCTATTCCCTCTCTCTGTCTTTCTCTACCCTTTCTTTATGCTATCCCAAACTCGTAACTTTTATCTTATATCTGATATCTCTTTTCTTCCCATATTTTGCACATTACTTTAGTATTTATTACTAATTATCATTTTATATTTAGTATAATTTATTTTGTATCTTTTCATTAAGCCAATTATTCACACATCGCCTATTCAGTTTTTTATTTATTTTTATTATTATTTTTTTCTTTAACCCCTTTTTTTTTGCAGAGTATTAACAGATTTGTTTGCATTTGTTATTTTTGGTGGCAATTTGGCTCTGCTCTCGTTGCATGTTTAATTAGTCAGTTGTTTATGGCTGCGAACTGTTTATTTTTTGTGATCATTGTTGCGGCTCACATTGGGTTTATTTATTTGCCATTTTTTCTCATTTATTTGCCTTTGCTTAATTTATTAATGCCGCATGATATTCCGCTTAAGCTGACGTTTAATTAATTCTATTAATTTTTTAATCGTGCAAAGCGTAGGAAATACAAAACTTTAAAAAGTGTGAAATTATGGAGAGGTTATTGTTGTTGTTGTCATTAAAAAATAAATAATACTTAAATGGAAAGGCCAGAAAAAAATGATGTGAAATTAAATATTTAGCAACATCAAATAGAGCTGTGTGTCTATCTATTATGGCTTCATGAATGGTAAACAATGTATGAATAATAAAATAACGAAAACGTAAATGATTCCTGAAATTGGTTGAAAATAAATGTATATATATTTTGTTCATTACTTTTATTATTTTGAAAAAAAAATAAATAAAAATAAATAAGTAAAAGAAATTAAGGAAAAAATAAAATAAACTATTTAATTATTCATTATTGCTTAGCAGTATTTTTACCATTTATTTTTAAGCAATTCAATTTTGTATATTTTTGTTCTTATTTTAATTTTTATTTACATATTTTTGTTGTTGTTTTTTATGTTATATTTTTGTTAATTTTATTTGTATTTACTATGATTTTTATAATTTAATAATAAATATTTAATGCTTAATTTTGTAATAGTATTTTTTTTTAGGTAATTTCTTGTAATTCTTTTCTTAAAATTAGGATGAATATTTTTGGTTCATCTTATATATTATATATATTTATTTTTATATATATTTTTATGTATTTGTTATTTATATATATACATTTCTTTTTTATATATACATATTTTCATTTATTTATGTTTTTATTTCTATTTACTTTATACATAATTTATTCACATATATACATATTTATTCTTTTTATTTATTTATTAATTTTATAT